GAAATGTAAAACATACATCAAAATCAATCTGGAATTCAATTTATCTTAACATTCTGTAAGGGCCACAAGAATGCCCATAATTTAAGCTTATGCAGAAATACTGGAAAAATCACCTTCGGGGAGCTTCGGAATAAAATTTTTACAACTGTTCCACTATTTTTCAGAGAAGATCTCTATGAGAAATAAAATTATCGGCTGCTGTCACGCTAAATTATAAATTACATAATGGCTGAAAGGTAGGAAGGGCAGTTGAAACTCCTTATATTAAATTCTTTAAATATATAATTGAGACAGTAATTCTCATCAAGCAAGCTGATCACATCTGAACTTTAAACTAGCTGAAACTTGAATCACAAACGACTGAGAAAAACTAGAAAGAAAATTGAGTAATGACCAAGACTAAAGGGAAGGAGGACAACCAAAGGAACTTCCATAACATCTACCATACGAAATTGATTCACGAATTTGGAATATAATCCATTTGGGCTGAGAACAATGCAGTGACAAGATTTTTAAGACATGTTGCAACATGCTAAACCTCAATACTCAGAACAAAAACAGAGAACTAAACTAACCTGACACCAATCCAAGCAATTTATAGCAGTCACATCAAGAAGTTGACTATGCCCACCATTTTTTATCTGACGGAAAGCACGCCACATAACCATTGGTTCCCAACTGATACCAAGGGTATTGTCAAGCACATTGCTAACTATTACAGGCTCTCCTTTAAACCAATGCCTTTGGAAATGCCTCAGATCCCCATGCTGCAGGTCGACGGCAGTTGGACAGTACAAATAATTGTCACTAGAATTTTCTCGAGAAGCTGCTTTACGCAGATTTCTACTGCTTACGTCATTTTTCCCGGTAAATCTAGAATAAGAATGCAATTGGCCTGAATCTTCAGGCACATCCTCAACCTGATATTTATTAATTATCTCTTCTGCTTTTACAACCAACTCTGCTACCCAATTCTCCGATAATAAACGTTTCAATCCTAAAACTCCTTGACCACAACCACCCTTGTGTTCTGGTGGACAAGGAATGACACCATTTTCCTTGGAATTCCATTCAGATGGACACTTAAGTTCAGGATGGAGATTGCGAGTTCTATTTTTGGTCGATGAATCAACCTCTTTTGCCGAGCCACTTCTCCTTGGCATTCGGTGTGTCCCCTTCTTGCCACCATGCAAGTAATCAAATCCATAGTCAACAAACTGCAGAATCACTTCTTCATCACCTCCCTGCAGGTGGCCGTCCCTAAGCTCTCTGCAACACCTAAGGCAGAGGTCATAGGAGCACAGCAGACAGTTTCGATGATAATCAAAAATAGAAGTTCTGCAATTGTCACTGCCAAAAATAACAAGAAATAAAATCAATTTCTGTGCAAATCAGAGGAAAGGATAGAAGAGATAGTCTTGAGAACCTACCAATAAATACGCTCATTCTGCTTGCATTTTGCTCTTTCAAGCCTTACATCTGAAACTGACAACCCTGACCAAGTAAGCAGAAAATGATTAACAAACTCAACAAGTGTAGTCAAATGTAGCTTCAACTTACATGCGGCAAAACATTAAAATTCAGATTCTGTTATAAGTCATAAGTCAACTGTAAAATAACAAGGCAGTCATCAAACTTGTGCTCGTTCGACAAGTTTTATCAAGACAGAGAGGAAATATATATGATATGTTTCTTACAAAGTTCCCAGACTAAAGGGATATCCTAAAGTGCTAGGAAAATGAAGGGTCTCATTTCTAATAAGTTCTCAAGCGCTTCAAAAATGTAACTAGACGACATACCTTGATGCTTAGCCTCCATCTCCACCTCCATCATTTGTTCTGCATTAAATTGTTTCAGAAAGGGTAGTAGCACTTTTACAACATAAGTAGAGTATTGAACCTTTTGATCATCTGTAATTTTCACTGCAAATGTCTCCACAGTCTGACAAACATTGTAGTACACATTATATCCATTGCACACTACATAAGCAAGAAAAAGCAAAGAAGTAAAAGAAACCAACATTAATTGGTTCATCCATTCGTAAGCATGATTTGCAGTTGCAATTCTTAAGACAAACTGGACACTCTTTAGCAAATGCTTCTTCTGACATCTTCGGGTACCTAAATATCAGAACAAAAAGGAATTCCAGCAATCAGCAACAACGCTCACAAGTACATTGGACTTGGAGTTATTAAAGGTATCAACATGCGTATCAAGAAACAGGGCAATGTCTACAACATAAACCAGCTTTTCAGTCAGAAAATATTTGACAAATCGCATTTTCTATATTCGATGATAGCTGTAATTGAAATTGGTGAATACCTCGTGTCAACAATGAAGTTACTACTTATGAATTCTGGAATATAAGAAATGTCGGAACAATTTTGCACATTGCCAAGGACAGCATATCATCAATAAATTGCAATGAGTAAGATTTCGGAATGCAGGCATACTATGTTACTTCCTAATGGCTTGTACTTGTAGAAGACTGAGGACATATATATAAAATACTGGTCAAATATTTGGAGTTGGCAAGAATTTCATACCATCTAACCATGCAGGGAACACAATATCGCTTGGTTTCACATGTTGTGCACCGGACAACCCTTCCTTTATCATTCCTCTGACACTGGTGACACATATTTGACTCAATCACATTACCCTGTAAATAAAGCAACAAAATTCAAACACAAACACAGTTAATTAATGATTCAGACTACATGACCTGCAGAAAAAATTAAATTAGCAGATATGAATACAGTAAGTGGAAGTTCTAAATTTCCAAATTTCATTACATTCGCATCTCTCTTTTGTGGACATTTCCGCTTTCGTACTTTCTCTTCTTTAACCTTCCTGGGTCTAAGTGAATATTGTGTTTCTTTGTTCATCTTCGACTCCTTCGCTTTCTCTCCATCTTCAACTTTAGACCTCTTTTTTCTTCTCTTCTTTCCTTCTTTTCCATATTTCTCTTCCACCTGAAATTGATTGCCCCCAGTTCCACCATCCTCGTCAGTTTTAGCCTTGTTCTTTTTAGAACCTTTTCTTCTCTTTCTTTCCCTGGGAACCTCATCCTCGTCCACTGTTACTGGATTATTGATTTCTTCATAGAGTTGCCCAATCTTCTCCTTCGCCTTTTGACATGATCTCCTGACCCTCAAATCCCCTTCACCAGAATCAACATTTTCTTTATCATTTTCTCCATTGGTTTCTTCCCCATGCAAATCTAATCTTTCTTCCTCATTTTCCCCTTCAGGATTATTTTCATCGGGAACTAAAACCCCATTTTCTTTCATTTCCACCTTCTTCCTTCTTCCCCTTTTCTTCGGCTTTTTTTCCTCTGTGCTTCCATTTTCCGCCGCCGGTAAACCAATCCCTTTACCTTCCTCTTCCGTATCTTTCACCGTACCAGCTTTATTCTCATCATTATTGCTCCTCTTTCCTCGATCCCTCTTCAAAACTTCCAATCTTGTAGTCATAGAACTAATTTCTTGGATTTCTATTTGATTTTCAGTATCCATTAGCTTTTCTTGAACCTTCTTGATTTTAACTTCTTGTCCTTCAGCTTCACCATTAATTCTTTTCTCCACCATCTTCTTCCGGGAGAAACAAACAGTTGATAAAGGGGGACGATAGAAGAGAATAACTCTTTATATGTATTTCTCCACCAAGTAAGAATAACTACTGTTTAGTGGGTTCTCGAAGATATTTGAAACGTTGGTGAAGGTATTCTCTTTCTTCCTGCTGAGGGCTGAATGGTATTGAAAAATGTTTGAAAAATCCCGCCATAGTTGATTTACTGGATATAGATGAAAACCCGGGAAAATTTGGTGACTTGCTGAGTGCTGTACAGACAAGACCTATTGAGATTTGAAACAATTGCACGAATATTAGCATATGTTTGGCTATTTTTCATAAATTGTTTACAAGTATTATTCATTTAGTTTTGTCTGATTTAGATAAAAATTAATTTTTTAATAAACTTCGATAAAAGTTCATGAAATAAGTAGTTGAAAAATTTTGTATCTAATGAAATGTTCAATTAAAATTAAATATTGATTTTGACTTAGATTTTAATAAAATCTATTAGCTGAACCAAACGTGGATTTATTTATCGTTCATTTTTATTTTATGAATTGAAAGCATGTGAACATTTTCTTATAGAAAATTTAATTCAAATATTATGTAAAAAATTGGATTAAAACTTAAATCAAAAGTTAACAGTTGATTTAAATCTCACGTATCATAACATCCACAGCTTTTCAACAATATATTTCATCAACTTTTATCAAAACCAGCTCAGGGTATAATGAAACACTACTAAAAACTTCAAAAGCTCAAATGGTAAAATTTTCATGGAATGTTTATTACATTGTGATTCTGATAAAACGATATTTTAATTTCTTTTCGTAATGTTAACTGTGGTAGAACGTTGTGCAATTCAACTTACTCGACAAACCATTATTGTATGCAAACTACACATCCGAATAAATTGGCGTCACAATCAATTAAATCCCTCAAAGTCAAAAGTCTCAGTTCCAAATCCCCTTTTTCATTCGTCTTTCCCACCATCTCGTTTGGCCCTTTTCTGTTTCGAGATGGCCAAGCTTCTTGAACGTCGTTTCTGCCTCCCATAACCGAATTTTGAAGTCTTTTTTCCATGCTGTGAACCTAAGCTTAAGTTTTCGAAGCTCTAATCCAGGATTTAACTTGACCTGATCTGTTGCAACTCGAGCCCGATCACCGTCGTCATCATACACGCCTTCAAATTGTTCAATTACGTGATTGGTTAAATTATTTATGATATGTGGTCCTGATCCGTTGCTACTTGGCAAATCCAATGAGTTCACCGTACTCTTTCCAAGGTGAACTCCAGTTCTTGTGGTTGTACCATCAGCATTCTGATTTTGATGTCGAAAAATAGTATCACACTGTCCGAATTTCCCGATAATGATTTCGTCAGTGGGATTTTTCTTTGCTGCAGCTAAACATGTCTGCATCAAATCAACCAAGTTACTGGAAATAAAATATTGAAAACACCTAAAATCGTTTTTTTTTAACCACATGGACATGTTTGCACCAAGTCCTCAAGAGAACAATGAACAAGATTTTAACATATTTTCTCCCTAAAATATGTCCTGCCAAGTCGAGGCTGGTCTATTAAACATGTCATAATACCTTGCGCAGAGAAGTCGAGGCAAGCTAAAGATGGAGATGTAGCACTAGAACTCACCTGTATATAAGTCAATTGATCTTGCCAGGTTTTCTCCAAGGACTTCATCTTCTCCTCGTATTCTCGCCATTTTTCCTCCATTTTCAGAAGTTGCATCTTCAAATCAGAATTTTCCTTGTTCTTTTTCCGCACTTTTGCCTCCATCCTCAAGGCTTGCTTTTGTAGATCAACAAGAACAAAATTCTGAACCAGAACATGATCCTGGCAACAAAATTCATTGGGCCTTCGTTTAAATACTGAAAAGGAAATAAAGTAGCTTTTTTCTTCGTCAATTATGTACATGAAGTCTACGACACCTTGTTCCAGGCATATTTGAAGATGCTAAAAATTCCATCGTATATACCTTCTTGTCTATGTCTTTGGACAGTTTTCTGACATCTCCCTCATTCTTAATTTCTAGTTTTCGCTCATGTTCTGTGTGGTTGAAATCATTTCGGGACAACCAACCTCGAATTCCTGCAAAATACAGTACATATTCTGATATGCATAACAAAGATGTTGTGTCCAAAAATAGGATGATATTTTTTGTATTCAACATTCTAATTTACCAGATTGCAAGCATACAACTGCTGCGTGTCTCTCTTTCAGAGCTCTATATGCAAACTGCTCTCTAATATGTTTCTGTATTACGACAATTGCTGTCAGCCTCATAGTCCGATACCAGCGTTCCCTTCTCGAATTTTCACAGCGGACAACTGCTAGAGGCATAAAACTAAGATGGAGTCACCACAACTAAGTATGACTATACAAGGCCATACATTGTCAGGGATTGTGCTCTAATCCATTCTTACGAAAGCAATAATAAACACGAAGAAAATCAGAATAAGCAAAGAAAACACACGGATTTATAATGATTTAGCCTCATTTGCCACTATGCATTTTCACGTTAATGACTGAAAAAATGCCCGTATAAAATTCTCTATTATACGAGCAATAATAGCTTGACTAGTGGTCATTGGGCTCCACACAATCTAACATACATTTCGGGCTCTCGAATTTCATACAGGTAAGTCCTCTCTGGATTATATTGAAGCATTTCTGACCTAAAACTAATACAATCACAACTTTGTACACATTTTTTTTTTCTTTATATCTTTCTGCATAAAATCATCTAGTCTTGCACGTAAAGGAGAGGGTGGGGTCCTCACATAATCATTAATACAGTAGAGATAACATGGGATTACATGATTGCAGTGCAATTACTCCTCTTCTAAGTTTGCTGTAGTAGGATCTTATTCGATGGCCTCTATAGCATTTCTGAATTTTCAATACCCCCTTTTCTGCTGTTTCTTTTGAATTCTCCAGTACCCCAATCTGTAATTTCCAATTTTTAGCATCAGAAGAACATTGAATTTGCCAAAAAATAATTTTAAAAAAAAAAAAGATCAACTTGACAAATAGTTGAACTGCTCCGCTCCCAATTTCAATACGAGTGCGGTGAGACTTGAAATCAAGAACTTTATGTGGGTTAAACATGCTCGTCTAAAAACTTATTTATTTAAATTATGACTTCTCGTCTATTTCAATAAAATATCAATCCAGGGAGATTAAAACTCTCTAATTTAACAGTTGATTCAAGAATTGTAAAGGGAAAATTAAGAAAAAATAGTTAGAATTTAGCAAGAAACTGTTTCGCCTTACCCGAATACCATCGCTTTCTGCTAAATCCGGTTTATGAATTGACTCAACACATTTAAAACTTTTATCTTTATACCCGTAATTTTCTTCACAACCACTCTTCTGGAAATTAAATGGCAAGTGCTTTCTTGCCCGAGGTAGTCGGGCCCTGGACACCGGACGAACCGGTAATACCGGCGGTGCATCCTTGGGCTGATCCTCTATTTGCTGGATTTTCACCAGCATCAACTCCAGCGAACTAAGAGTAGTCGACATTGAATTATGTACTTATCATTGGACCGAGTGGTGTAAATTTACAGATGACCGAAACGGAAAAAAATCGACGTAATTAATGTATAAATGTGTTGGTACAGGAACAGGGACTGGTATGTAAAGGTATATTTAAGGGTGGGTTTTTGGCTTACTTGAGGCTCCCGAAACCTGGTGTAGAGCTTTCATTCGATTTGGAAAAATTTAGACTGCAGTTTGCATGTGTCTACTGTCAACGCAGCTTTCCTTTTGCTTTGTCTGAATCTCAAATTTCAGGTGGGTCCGTCATGTTGAGTTAGTGAGATGGAATTGGAGTATTAATTGAGGCCAAAGTAGGACAGAGGAAGATGAGAGCAACGATGCTACCATAAAAAAGCATCAAGAATACTACAAAAAATGAGAGAGTGGTAATTTATATGGGAAAGACTAAAGAATATATCCACAATCCTATTTGGAGGTGTAAAATGGGTGGTTGGTAGGCTCAAGACCCCTTCTTTTTTTTTTTGGCTATGAAGCAGGATTATACCAATTTGTCACAAGATACGATGTCAGTTGATGCCCAACGATCGAAGTAATTGTTGTAACATGGACCGTTGATCAAACTAGATTTGATGTATGAACACTCGGACTTACACATGGCTCACATTCAAAGTGTAGTATGTTCGACACTGAACAGTTTTGAACCAAGTGGTTCAACTTAATTTGACATGATTGAATATATAAATTTACAAATCTTTGTGCTCTCAATTGCATTACAACGGTTATTTAACATATGATTTTTCAAATGTATCTTTAAATGATTTTTTTATTTCACAAACCTACTTTAAAGGAGAAATTGACGAATCTCTAAATTGATTCTAACATCTTTTTAGTCGTAATTACTGTTAGTCCATTGAATCATATTAAAGATTAAATTATGTAAATCTCAAGCAATAAGTAAATCCTCAAAATCTACAAATTTGTGCTTCTCGATGAGGTGGTGTGTGGCAAATGATTATTGGCTATAATTCCCAATTATGCATCTATTAGGTAGAGGTTAAATATGTTACTTATTTCTCTATTTAACTCTTTATCTTTTATGGCTTATTTGTCAAAGCTTTTAAAAACTTACAAATTGTTTTTCGGAGAAACTTACTTTCGAACCGTAAGAATAAATTTTTAAAAGCGCTTTTAGATAAAGTTAGATACAAAAAGCAGAAGCAAAAATAGAAAAATATTAAACAGACTTATATGACTAAAATTATCAATCTTTTCTTTTATTAATACTATCTGATATTACAAAAAATCGTACATCTTGACTTCCGAGCTTGACGACTGAGAATGAGCACGAACGAGGTCTTCCGGTACTCGAAACAAAGGCGTCGAGATGTGTCCTCGTCGCCCTTCCGATACTTAAGTCAGAGAGAGAATTTGTGGAAAGATTCGTGCTGAAAATTATGTAAAAACGTACATTGATAATGAATGGGAATGATGTATTTATAGAGGTAGGTAGTGCAATCCTGGTATTTTTGCTATGTTGAAATCCCTAGGAATTCTACTATGGTTGGGGGTTGTAACTTAATTGGTTTTGTATTACCAATGTGTTTGATCAATGACAGGACTTTGATGGTAGAATCCTTTTTGGAGAAGTTACACTCACATTAGTAATCTATCTACCCAATGTTTGGATAAGCCTTAGCAAGAGGGAGTCAAGGGCTGCCAGGTACGAGGTTTTAGCCGTGCTTTCGAGGAAGATGTATGACCTGAAAATTAGATGCCCCGAGGAGGTAACGTGGCTTTTCAGTCGAAGTGAGAACCTCATGCTCGAGCTCTCACTAAGATTGGTATCATCACTATCAAATTTAATTCATTTACCTTACCAAACATATCATTAATGTATAAAACGTTTCATCAATATTTTGTTAGGTAGAAAGTGTAATTTGAAGGCCATATGATTTTTAACAGTCCAATAAAAAAAATGCAGTTTGTTTCTTGCAAAAAACTATATATTGAAAAAGAAAAAACTAATTAAAGAAAAGATGAAAAGTGATTCATTCATTCATGAAAAGTTGTCTCCTTAAAACAGTTTCCAAAACTGCAAAGAGAATGATGTTTGACCAAATAGTCATTATTGAGAGACGTGCTGTCACGCGGAATGACATTCATTGGGTTTTACCAATGTTGCTGTACTACCTACACTTTTTATTATTCGAATTACCAAATAAAATTCCATCCTTGAAAACTGAACATTAAAATAATTATGGCATGACTTGGTATGTAAAACACGATCTAACTGAATTGAATTTATATAGGATAGGATTCTGGCCTCGTACCTATCAAAGAATGAGCAACTACCGTTCATGTATGATCAATATTAGATTTGATCAAATGTTCATATTAATGTAGTGTAGAATAGTTGGATCTTGAATTAAATTAAAGAGTCTGATAAGAAATCTAATCCAATTAACAATTGTAAAAAGGGGCGAAAATTGTTTTATATAATACGTACGATTCAAAAATCTAACAATATCAAACGTCTTCAAGATCCAAAAGATGCTGAAATTTTATCTATTACAGCATCAAGTGACATCTAACAACGTGTATTAATTAATGTTAAACCTGTGCAACAGCAATTTTCCACTGTTCGTTCTGTCGACTGTGATTCTCACAGGTTGGGTAAAACAAACATTTATGTAAAAGTTTTAAGCTAAGTCGAACATGCTCCAAGTATATTTCCTTCAACTTTGATTAGGATACTATGCCTTCTATCCTCACTGGCTACTGTATGAATAATTTGTCATAGCATTCGCAGCCTCCAAAAATTTATTGTCAAAACGAGAAAAATAACGATCTCACTGTACAGCAAGAATCTGTACAATGCCATTAGATTCCATAAAAATATTTGCTCATGCTCAGTCTTCAGTAGAATGCAGGTTAACCAGCACTCCTGCTCTAGGAAGCCCTGGCAGTGGCATTATAAAAACCATATCTATCAATCATCCAATTCAAATATTTGTGCTCTCCTCTCAGCAGCTTGCTTCCTAACAAAGATTCCCCATCTCAGAGCTGCTTTGAGTCTGATCCACCCAACAGCAGTTTTGCCAGACGAACATGTACTGTCCTCTCCAAAACGATAGTTAGAAGGCATGTTTGGGGTGTGTGTAATTACGCTCATTGCCATTACTGGAAGCATGACCATGGCTGCCCATGCTAAATACACAAAGCAGATGCTGCATGTCTTCATTTTCAAGCATCTCGTGACTTCTTATGCGAATCTCATCCTCAGGGCAGAAATCTTCAAATCCTCTATAAGAAATAAGATTTGATGTGTCGCCGACATGGAAGTTTGGTACAGTCGACTGTGACGGACCAAGTGCTAGCATATTCTCACTTCCAGATGACTGAGCTGCTTGAGCTGTGTTGATTGGCTGGTTATGTGGATGGAACGCCATACTGTCTTAACTGAAAAGCAGAATTGTAGTTCATGTTTTGTGATTGCATCGGATATCTGCCGCCAGTATTGTCATTATACCCTAGTAATTTTTTCGTATAGTTAAAGTAAAATGCATATGTAATGTGCTTAAAGGCAGAAATAAGAGCATTTCAAGAGAAAGCTTAGGATTATAGCCTAAACAGAGTTAAAAAGCCTTTCAAAAGTTAAATTTGCATACAAGAATTCTGAAACTCATTGAGAGTTAATTGGCCTCTATTTGGCCACATTTCCTAAAGCTCATTTTTTCTCAAACTCATTTCAACCAACATTTTTTCACTAAAATAATTTTGCACGTGGACCGTGACTTTTCTTACTTTTTAACCATACGAAAAAATCACTTTTCACAAAATATATTCTAAAAAAATCTCTATCAAGCATGTGGCAATTGGCATGCATATAGTCATATGAAGCCTTGAAGCTTTTCAAATGTCAGATGCAACCAGACCCATGGGCGGAGATACAGCCCACCTTTGCCCAAGCCCAGCCTCTGTAAAAAAAAAAATTGGTTAAAGTCCAATTGTTTCCACTTTTCAACCCAATAGCTCACTGTCCAAGTCCAACTTAGTAGCCCACTGTCCTAGCCCATTTGAAAAATTGAAAACCCAATTTACAACCCACCTAAAATTAAACCCAAT